TGCCTTTTCTTGGAGGAGATTTATAATAGGTCGTCAACTTATGAAATGCTGTGATGATAATGATGGTGACGACTTAATCCTTTAATACTTACTCGTTTCCAAATTAGACCGAGAGTTCCTTTAAACGTTCCATTTCCAGATATACTTGAACCCTGACTTCTTTCCGGTGGATCATAATATTGGTACCTAGTAATTTAAAAAAATGAAATATATATTTTTAACAATTAGTACGTGTAACTTATTTTAAATAATAAAAATGTAATAAAAAAGCGACAGTAGCCTAATGGCAGGGCGCGGACCGCTAACTCAAAAGGTCGTGGGTTCGAATCCACCATTCGAATACTGCCGTGAACCACTCCTAACACAAGCATTTTCAGCTTACCAGGAGTGGTTAAAGGGAATATTAGTAATGTTAATTAATAGGATTACTAATATTCTTTAAAAATAGTATAAAACATTAAATAATATCTATTATTACTAAGAGAGTAAATGGCTTATTAATGGTGTAATGATGATATCTGCAGTAGAATCATAGTAACCGATATATCCCAACCGACCAAATAGCTGAAGGAGCAATAGGCCAGCTATATATCTCGAATTGTCTACAACTGATAGGGTAGGAAGATTCTCGATTGGCAGCCTAGCGGATTGTAGATTGGCCCTTTCTAGAAGTAGCGACGACCTGGTATTCAGGAAGTCGATGGATACAGGTTTTTTTTTTTATAGAATAGGGTGACAAACGAGCACACAGTCCACCTGATGGTAAGTGGTTGCTGCGACCCATAGACATCTACATCTATCCTCCATTAAAAATCAAAATGCAGATGCGTTGTCACCCGTGAGGACTGAGATGGAATGCCTCGTTTCCAGTAAAAAGGGTCTCCGGTTCTCTACACTCACCATACGAAATACAGCAGCATTAAGCTACTATTTCACGCTGGTATTCTGTGAGAGCGTGGTCCTTCCCCGGTCGAGCCGACCGACCAGGTGTCTCAGGATCATGTTTTGTGGCATACCTTGGAGGAGGTCTGTGTTTAGCAGTGGACTTATGGTAGTAACGCTGCTGACGATAATAATGGTAATGATGAGAAAGCCAAATGTAATAAGTATTTATTCGTAACTGAAATTTAGCTCTTCGCTATTAAAAACAATAAGTTATCATCGCGGCCTCCTTTTACCTCTATTTTTGATTTGTTGTTATATTTGACAAAATGCCACGGTGGAGCCTAAACATACAAATTTTAATTAGACTGGTTCTAAGCTCTTTACGTAAGCCTTTCCATTTTTAATTAAAAAATGTTTTTTTTTAAATATTTAATAACATTATCTGTTAAACTTTTTCTACAGATTTTATTACGTTTAATTACGAGTTTATTAGATCGTAGCTTATTTTATCGTCTTATTCCCAGCATGTAATCTATGTAAATAAATAAAATTGAAGTGTCTCTTGGTATTGCCAAAATAACAGCTTTTTATTAAGTGCTTAAGAAAGCATATACGATTTTTATAACAAAAGCATAATCTTTAAAATTATTGTCTGTCTGTTTGTTGCGGCTGATCTCCGAAATGGCCTGACCGATTTTGACAGGACTTTCACTGATTTAACGCAAAAAAATTAAAACCTTCATGGGTTTTAATTTTTTTACCCGGAATCCAATTGCAATAAATTAAACGCGGGCTAAGTCGCGGGGAACAGCTAGTCTATCAATAAAATGGGTTAAGAAAACGCTACTTACATGTAATACGGGGACATCAAAGACGCGTCCTTGAAAGTTGTTGTATACCACATTAGCAGGTGGTAGAAGTGGTGACTTGTAAAGCTTACCAGACCACCAATTAACTAGGCTCAAATGATGGAGTCGATTCGGAGTTGCTTGGTTGTAATATATACGAAAACTTAAAGAAAGAAATGTTTTGTAACTATTTTAAACTATTTTTATATATCTATGTTATATGACAATTAACTTATGTGGATATTGCACATATAGAAAAATAAATTTGAAAACTTACACGCCTTCCCTGGGATTGGTAATAACGGCGACTCTCATTGCCTCCTTGAGAGTTTGGAGAAATTTTGAACTTATGTCACCATCAGACCAATAAAACATGTAGAGTATTGTACGATGGATAAAATTGTTTTCAGTCAACTATGGAAAAATTGTATATTCAAGTACGTCATACAATAATGTTCATAAAAACAAATGTTTGATGATTATCAAGTTTCTTGTTTGATAGTCCTTAGGTTGCATAAGTAGCTCGGGGTCTAAGCGCTCGCTGTAAATTTCACAGTTCGTGAGCACCCCAGGGTCGATTCCCGCCGGCACAAATGAAATTGTTAATAGCAATTTTAAGTGCTGATTTCACATGGTGATGGCCACTCGACATTGAAGGAAAATATCCTGAGGAAACCTGCATGTCTAAATAATAAGAAGAAATTTTTTCGCAGAAACGTCAAGTTTGACAACACGCATTGGGGCAGGGTGCCTGACATGTCAATGACTAACCCTCTCAGAAATGAGCTGAGGCCTGTGTATATAGGTCGTAACTTCAAATTTTTAACTTTAGATTACGTGGTAGAGCCACACTGCAGCTATATTATAGTTGTAGCACGAATGGGTTGGCTCGATCGGGGCAGGACCATGCTCTCACAGAATACCAGCCTAAAATAGCAGAGTAACGCTGTTGTGTTTCGTATGATGAGTATAGCAAACTGGGTACCCTTTTACTGCAATCGAGGCATTCAATCTTAGTCCTTAGGGGTGACAACGCATTTAGCGTTTTGATCCTTAATTTATCCTCAATCAAGGATGTGAATGTCCGTCCAATATACAGCATCCACTTACTATCAGGTGCGCTGTGTGCTCGTTTGTCACCAAATGCTATAAAAAAGGTTGCATGAGAAGTGACTTATTATTTACTCATCATTTAGGTTGTTAGGTTAAAAAATAAAAAATCAAAATATAAATTTCTTCGCAACGTTCCGCTAAATAAATACAATGATGTGTCTTACCTGGATTGAAGAGCACCTCCCGCCCTCCCTCAATTGCATGTACTAACTGCGTCACCACTATTCCAGGTAAGACACACCATCGACGATAATACGACACGTGTTTCGCCTCTACACGACGCATCTTCAGTTAATGTAGACTCTACGGCAGCTGACCGCCAAGTTAACGGCGAGCCGAAACAGCTGCTATTTATACACGCCGACGCAATCGCTCCGCACCAAAGTAGCGAGTGACCGCGCCGTGCGATAACAAACCTGCTACTAATTATCATTATTGTTATGATTAATATTTTTAAATACTATTATTATTATTATTATAGTTATATATTATTATTAATCTTAAAATTCTTGATTAAAACTACTTTTACGGATTTTATCGCGTTTATTTTTGCTTTTAATTACTTTTATTTTTAATTAATTTATTTATTTTAATTAAAAATAAAAGTAATTAAAAGCAAAAATAAACGCGATAAAATTCGTAAAAGTAGTTTTAATCATGTGTAGTGTTCGCGTAAATATAAGAAATCATTACTTAAAATTCTTATTAATAATTAGCCCTAAAGATGTTTAACAAAGGTGAATTAGAAACATTTGTTTGTTCATCCAGCAGTGCATAATTACCATTATTACTTTTTAAAATCTCCAACTGCTCCAGCACACACAGTCGCAGCCCCTTACTACAAGTATGTAAGACTTCAAAGGAATGGTCGCTAGCTAGGTTGTGTCCAGTATCACATTGATTTATCAGGATTGCAATTTCTGTACGCGGCCAAATGCTCTTTATAGCGCGTCCCGAAATTGCGACCAGTCTGACCCACGTAAACGGCGTGGCATTCATCACAAACAAGTTTATAAATACCCGATTTTTTAACTTATCTTTATTATTACAAATATTCCTAAGCGAATTGTTCGTTTTGAATGCCACATTAACGCCGTTTTTCTTAAGAGTATTAGCTATTTTTTCCGATATGGATATTTTTTCCGATGGTCTTTGTACTCGTACGCGGTTTGATCTCAAAGTGTCCGGCAATATGTGGGTAGTTTGACCTACTTAGGCTCCACACCGGAAAAATAGCTAATACTCTTAAGAAAAATGCTGGATGAACAAACAAATGTTTCTAATTCACTTTTTTTTAAACATCTTTAGGGCTAATCTTTAATAAGAATTTTAAGATTAATAATAATAAATAACTATAATAATATCAATAAAACAATAATAGTATTTAAAATATTAATCATAACAATAATGATAATTAGTAGCAGGTTTGTTATCGCACAGCGCGGTCACTCGCTACTTTGGTGGGGAGCGATTGTGTCGGCGAGTATAAATAGCAGCTATTTCGGCTCGCCGCTCTGCGCCCTCCTTTCTGCCAAGGAGGGTCGTGTTCGTATACGGCTTAAAGATCTCTCGTCAGATCGGTAAGCCAACCCATAAAGGCGGTGTTGGGTAAAAGTCTCCACATAACCACGCAGCCGGCTGCGTGGTATGCTATGAGCATTCACCGCCTCCCTCCCCCCGCTTTCCGGAGGGTTGCTCATATTTGCTTCGGGCGCAAAAAAAGCTCGCCGCTCACTTAGCGGTCAGCCGCCGTAGAGTCTACATTACCTGAAGATGCCTCGTGTAGAGGCGAAACACGTGTCGTATTATCGTCGATGGTGTGTCTTACCTGGAATAGTGGTGTTGGGAGTAGTGGTGCTCGGACTAGTGGTGACGCAGTTAGTGCATGCAATTGAGGGAGGGCGGGAGGTGCTCTTCAATCCAGGTAAGACACATCATTCTATTTATTTAGCGGAAGGTTGCGAAGAAATTTATATTTTGATTTTTTATTATAATGGATTTCCGCAAAGTAACGCCTGATTCTATCAATTTCGTATGTTCTTAATTTTATCTTGCATATCATCTTTAAAACTCTTCTATTCGACTCTTAATTGCATTAATAATTAATGATAAATTTTAATTTTTAATGAAAAGAAAAATCGCATTTGCATTATGTTACCAAATGAGAAGTTGATATTTTTTACGATAGTTGTTGGTAAGTTTCATTTTAACATATTTGATTCCTCTGTAATTGAAGTAATCCACTATATTTAAGCTATCCTATAATTTATATCTGTTATATTTATACAGTATCAATTTTGGGCAATTTAAGGGGTTTATACAGTAAAAAATAAAATTAAAAAGAAATTTACTTACTTCAGATAATAAATTCTCGCATTCCAAAGGGCTACATAAAATAAGACTAGTCCTTTCGTTTGAAGTGTCTAAGCCCTCTTTCAGAAAACTAAAAAACTAAAAGAACTCTTATGTTAATACTTCTTTAAAGATTAAATCGTAGATACATACATTTAAGCAAGTATTTGTATAGATCTACCGTCATTAACAGGATATTGCACAACTCGAAAGGAAAGTGGGTAGTGTTTTGCTTAAATAAAAATGCGATGCACTCAGCTCATCTTTAAGACATTCAGTAAGCACTTGTGCGTTTTAAAAGGACACGAATAATAAGTAGACGACTCAATGAACATGTTTCATCTATATAATGGAAAGTCCTTTATATAGATCTCAAAGAATGATTTGAATTTTTAAGGCCGTCAATTATTGTATGTTAGTCTGTAAGTAAATATATAAACGATAACTTTTATAGCAATAAATAAGTCATAACAATTTTTCCTTACCATGTTAAGGATTTTAAAAATATATTTTTTATTCTTATTTCCTAGCTGCTATCATTTGCAATTTCTACGTATAAATTTTTTTTTACCCGTACTATTTACATCATTACATTACATAGTACCCGGATGACCGGGCTTTTCTCGGTTTTTTTTAAATTACTAATACTAACTTTTTTGCTACTACTAATATTTTTTGATCTTATGACATAATAGAAAAAACTGAACTGGTTATTTGAATAAAAAGTCATGAGTGCAATTAGTTTAATTAAAATTTTCGTATTTTTAAAATACTAAAAAAAGGGGTCGAAATAATAGATTTTCTCACAAAAGAAATGAACTTGAAAAAAAATGAAAAAAAGTCGGACCCAAGACGGGACGCGAACCAAGGCATTACGATTTCACGACCGCTGAATATCCACTTGAGCTATTACGATCATTAACAAAGTGTCAAAATTTATATTGTAATAAAATTTATATTATATTGTAGCAGATTTTCATTGCCTGAAAACACGGACAAAAAGACATTTTATAAAAATAAATCCAAGCTAGATCAATTTATTGCCCCCGAAACTCCCTGGACACTAAATTTTATGAAAATCGTTGAAGCCGTTTCCGAGATTCCAATAAAAAAAAAAAAAAAAAAAAAAAATATATATATAGAATAAGAATTAAGAAGAATTGCTCATTTAAAGGTATAGGATAAATCGATATGAAACAAACAACAAATGCATGATCTTTACCATCGTAGCACGTCCTAGATTCTTTATCTTTTTAATTGTTATGGTTTACCTACAGAGACTACCTTAATCGTCACGCTTGGTAGGCGGAAAGACGATAGTAGGTACCTTTGACACTTCAACAGTGAGATTGCCTTGTAGTCTGCGGTGAGTCGAGAAGAAGGCAAGTAATCTGCGAGAGTGCCGTAAAGCAGAGGCGAGCAGTACGGCTCAGAGCCTTGCTGAACACTGTAGCGCAGAGTGTAGCTTGAAGGAACAGGAAGCATTATTATTCCAGTGCTGCGATGAACCTTGTGAAGCTAGATGGCTTGCAGGATATGAAGACTGCAGACGATATCTGCTCGGGAGCGAATGGGTGGGGTATTCTATGACGATGATGAAGCTTGAAGTTTCCGAAGGTTGTTTGGTTGCGTGTTTAGATCACGTCGGTTGGTCACCACTTTGGCCGTATTAGGAAAAGGGGAGATCTCCCGCCGGGCAAGGTGTTCTGTCCGGGGAGCGGCCGACACTCCGTGTGATAATTCGGAGATGTTCTATATATACTGTTTATGATTCGGAATGTTGATAGCGCGATTTAGGCTTCGGTGTGTTTTCGCTTGTGGCGGCGACGGCAGCGCCGCTACATCGTTTATAGTCATATTTTAGTAAGTAATGCACTTAAATAACTGAAAGTGTGATTGTAATGCTATACTTATTTTTTCTTTTACCGCCAAAAGGCCAATGTTAAAACATAGACAGAGATACTAAACCAAAAAAAAAAATACTTTAATCGGTTAGTCTGACGGTTTTCTTCATTTTTGCAAAGGAGTTGAATAATTTGCCAGCATCTGTCTTTCTGGTCCTTACAATGCTTAAGTGCAAGAACGAATAGGCTTTAGGTAAGTTAGTGTAAGTCAGTGCAGTTCACTATATCTTCGTTAGTATAAAAATGAAGAACTTTAGTATACAAGGAACATAAATACAAGACAGGAGGTATGATCCATATCAGGTCAGAAGGTTCCAAACGTTTGTGCATTCAAATACAGTCATCAAATTATACTTACAGTAGCTTTACTGTCCGTCGTTGTAAGATCGAGGTTGATAACTTGTATGTTGTTTTCATTTAGAAGACAAATTAACTCAAATATATCTGAAGACCTGTAATTCGTGTTAACTATAGTATTAATATATTTGCTAATACTAAAGAAGAAAAATTACAGTGTTAAAAGTTAGGGAAAATTTATTAACACTCACAATACTAAATGAGGTGCGAATTCTCACACTCCAACCACACTGCTAATGTTTTATATATATTTATATAATCATTAGTTATTAATATAATTTTTACCTGATATTTGTCGAATTTCCTCTGACTATGGTTAAAGCATTAGACGGGATTCCTTCAACTATATCTTTCACAGCAGGGGAAAAGCCTTTAGGGAGTACTGTTAGAGTGTTTGATGCTATATGCTGTATATTAAAGAAGCCAAGACAAGAGTGAAACAACAAACATAAAGTTAAAATATTCATTTTCATCAAATAGAATTAAAAAATCTTTTCAACTGAAATTTATTCACTAAGTATGTGTTGATGTGATTTTTAAAGATGATAGAGTAATTCTAAATTTTCCTTACACAAAACGTTTCTTAAATACGTCTTAAAATACATAGATTATCAAAAAGACAGAGTTGACGAGCGTTAAAAACGATAGTAAAATTTCATGTGTACTATTTATTAAAAATGAGATGCATGATATTGTTTGTGTGATCAAATTTTGGAATTAGGAAACAACAAATCCTCTTAAAAGTGATAAAAAACCTCACCAAGAATATCTTACAAAGCACCATAATATGCACATAATCGCCAAATATTAGCTATTTTTCGTAATAAATAAATTACGGCAGCTTTAGTACCAGCTGCACCTTAATCCACTGGCAAAACATTCAGTGTTTCTTGACGCATACTGAGTATATTTTGTTGCTCATTTATTATTTCTATCGCTCTCCTAAAATTTTAATAAACATTTTGGTTATAATTGTTTTCAAATTTTTCACTTTTGTTTTAAATTTTTTTATTGATCAAAATTAGCGGTCTGTTTAGTTATTTTCACGCAAAATAAAAAACTAGTTTCCCAATTCATCTCCCATTCCATAATTTTCCCCTGTAAAAAAACTATTAAGAATGGGGCGATAGGCACGTTTCGTAAATTGTATATAATATATTTCAAATTTATCTAAACATACTTGTATAGTAGATTAAAATGTGTGACATTGTACTACTCGCTAAAAGGTCTGTGCTTATGGTATGACGGTTTATCTACTTACGTTTAATATAACCTAGGTGGGCGATCGCTTCCACCTGCGTTATATTCATGAATATGTGCATGTGCAAGCACAAGCACTAGGAGGTTTGCTCTGCATGTACACGTACCTTAATTACCACGTACATTAAATTAGTGTTGTTATATACATAGAATACGCTTTTGGCTGCTGTATCTACTTCATTTCATATTTTGAATGATATTTACAAATCTTTCCGAAAATCCATAGACTATTGAACGAACCATGCATGCGTACCCGGCATTTTAATGTGATCTATTCAATTTCTAGTTAATATGCATTAATATTTGTTAATGCGTACATTTTGTATCAAATTCTAAGCTAATCTGTGAACCTGGTAACATGTCATTAAAATTATTCGATTAGGAAATGCTATCCTGAGTAGCTATATCAGTCTGACATTTAACGTAAATGTCTGTCCATCATAGAAAAGGTCTAAGGTAAGAATGGGAATTCTTTTCTCACACAAATATTAATTTATGTTGCGCAATGTTTCTTTCAAACGAATAGAATAATTAGTGTATTAGATACATTAACATGCATGTTGTGATGTGGTAATTAGTAAAATGTCAGTTAAACTTTTTATATAAAAAAGACGTATATTGATATTTTAATTTTTATGTTTCTCTCTTATTAATATCATCTTACTGTTGGGGATACTATTACAGCAATGATAACAAAAATTAACTTAGATCCACGTGCAGAAATAAAATCGTGTGTTTTAATAAAGTATAGAAAGAAAAGGCGTTTAATGATCGTGTCGTGCTTATTATTAATTAAAGTCCTTGCGGCCTATGTCTGTAAGTAGTTTGCGCTAATCTAGGAATTTACTGAAGAGATTTTCATTCGGTTTTCAATAGACACACTGTTTCTTGAAGAAGGTTAAGGTGTGCAATTTATAAATATTATTTTTTGTAAATTAAGTAATAATAGTAGGTTATCTTGTGATTATTGTCGATTAAACTGAAAAAAAGACTTCTGAGGGCGTCTATTACTTAACTACTTACAGTCTACCGATATTTCATTTAATCGGATGCACTAAGTGTTCCCGTTCAAAGCAGGGACGGATCACTAGATAAGTCTTATTTTAAGAGAGTTAAACAGCTTATATTATAAAAGACTAACTTTTCCTAACTACTGTTTTAAAACAAAAATGCACTCAGAATTATACGACAAAGATTCTTAACGAGGGATTACGGCATTTCTTCTCAATATACTCGTGTCACCAGGAATTCGCTTCCTAGTTTGAAGTTCATGGCAGATGACCATGAGCAGCAGAAGCCTCTTACTATCAGGTGACTACTACAAACCGGTTTTTTTTTCCATAATTTAAGCGTTCGAGAACTGAAGATCCTTTTAAATGATTACGAAGCATTCCATTTTAGTTTTAAGAGGTGACACAACATCTACAATTAAATTCTTTATAAAGAAAAGATAAAAATGTGTATGAGTTACAGCATCATCTTACTCTTGGGGCGGTACGTAATTGCTTGTCAGCCTTATTTCTATAAAAAGTTAACACATAAATTCATATAAAACTATAAGTCAACAACAACACCAAAATTTAAACCGTTGGAAACCAGCGTCATACATAAGGATGAGGTTGCGATCGTAGGGCTAAGTTATTCAAATACGCCTTGGTGGAAGCTTAGAAGTGGATTGAAAAGAATCTTATTTGTTACAATAATGTTGGCTAGCTATTATAGTATTAATAAATACTAGTACTAATAAATGACCTAGGAATATTCTCCTTTCTTTTACAATGTACTCAAAACCTAATCTATCCGGTCGTCGTATTTGACATGCATATTGTGACGACGCATCATCATTAATAATAAATAATAATTAATTTGTGTATAAAGTCATCTAAAAATATCTTAAAAGCAATATTTTTAAAAATTAAATGCGTTAATGAGTCTAAAGTTAAAATACATTCATTTCAAATTTTAAGTTTTGTTGTAAAGTAAAAGCTTACTATTGTTTTTAAAATTTACTAAAATAACTTAAAATATTTAAAAGGTATTAAGTAACAGCAATACATTTAAATAAAACTAGTTTTCGGGATGTGTTCACGTATAATATCTTACTAGTTTTTTTAAATGAATAGTGTTCGCGTAAATATAAGAAATCATAATAAAAATCCAAATCGATTATATTACGAGTATTACAATCATAAAAAAACAACATTTATAAGCTTTATAAATAATTGGGAAATAGGTCAAAATTCGGGTCAAGTTATCGAGCCTGTTCATGCAACGCTGAAGCGTATTCTTGTAATGATCGATCTTATAAGGAAGCTGCCGGAGACGCACACCGATGGTCAGACATACGGGACGCTGCCATCTTCGATTAATTACTGAAGATGAAACTTGGATACACCATTGTACGCCCGAAACAAAAATATGGTCAAAACAGTTGATTGCAAAGGGGAAACCGGCTTCAATAAAAGAAAGAACTGTTCTTTCGACTGGGAAAGTGATTGCGATTGTTTTTTGGGATAGTCATGGAGTTATCATAATAGATTATCTTCAAAAAGGAAGAATTATCATCGGAGCATACTACCTATCATTACTTGCCAAATTGAAGGCAGAAATTGTGGAAAAACGGTCACATTTGCAGCATAAGAAAATCCTGTTTCGACATGACAACGAACCGTCTCACACAAAAATCCACTAATTAGGCTTTGAGCTACTTGACCATCCACCTTACTCACCTGATATAGCCCCAAGCGACATATTTTTGTGCCCTCATCTAAACATTACGCTCGGAGGACAGAGATTTTTGTCAAAGTGGAGGCAATCACCTTCACCATTAGACGGGTTAGAGAGATGGGAGTGTCACTGGGAGAAGAAAGCAATTATGGGATAGGTCTCAAGAATGTGATTACTATAGCGGCATGTAGACTGCTTCATCGTGAACAAGACCGCGATAAACGTTGACTCGTTAACCGATATGACCTCATCATCTTAGTGCTTGTGATGAACGGGATTGTTGTAGAAATACGACTTACCGGTAAACATGTCACGTCTGCAGGAGTGGCAGGTAGTGGCAATCACGTAGTGCTTTTTATGGCCAGTGTGTACATTATTTCAACATGTGACGTACATTCATTGTGGCTGAATTTGACATGCGCTGTTTCAGTCGATGAGCTTACGCACTATCATGGGGCCGGTTGGTCAGACGGTTTCCAAAAAACGTTTTAGCACTTTAGGCCACATAAATAACTTTCGGAAAATTGTACACAAGACCAAAGAGCACAATCTGATCTAAGCACTATTCTCAATGACCTTAATAGTGCCTTCCAATGAATAGATCTAAAGATGAATACATCTAAAGATCAAAACAAAAATCATATGTAACATCCATGTCCATCCATAAGCCGGAAGTTGTTGGGAGCACTAAGCTCGAAGTTGTTGACGAGTATGTTTACCTGGGACAAATATTCCTACTAGGTAAGTCCAAAATCAATCGAGAGGTCAATCGATGGATTCAACTCGGCTGGGCAGTGTTTGGGAGAATACGACATATCTTCTCGTTAGATACTACTACCACAAAACTTGAGAACGAGATTGTACAACCAGTGCGTGTTAGCAGTGATGACCAATGGATCTGAGATGTAGTAGTTCTCTGCTGGCTGTATGAGAATGCTTGCTATTCTCAGGGTTTCCCTGCGTGATAAACTTCGCAATGAGAATATCCGCAGTAGGACCAGAGTAACTGACATAGCCCAACGGATTAGCTAGCGGCAATAGATCGGCCACATGTCTCGAAGAACCGACAACCGATGAAGAAGCAAGGTTCTCGAGAGACATCCTCGTGCCGGTTGATAAAGTGTGAGGCAGCGCTTCACTTGATGGAGTGACGAACTAGTGAGATATGCAGAAAGTCGAAGGATGCAGGTGGCACAGGACCATGATTTGTGGCATTCCTTAGGGGAGGCCTATGTTCAGCAGTGGAATTGTGAAGGGCTGTAATGATGATTAAGATGACGATTGTACTTCTGTGAACGCTAGAAACTTCTAGAGTACTTGTCGAATTATAAATTGTCGAATTGTAATAGTTAGGTTACGTAACAATCTAATTTAATATAATATGTATTACTTGTGAGATACATTGTGCTTTCGTTTGATGGCTAAGTAAATTTACTTATTTAAAACATAAAAGATGTTTAATATTGATATGCCCACTACA